GCCCAACCCCTCCCTAGGTCTGTGCTGATGACCCCGAGCTCAGGGCCTCGAGAGGAAATTGATGCTGAGAAAGGGAAATGACCTGCCCGAAGCAGCAGTTGGAACTGAACCTCTTCCTGATCCCAGATGGAGCCTTCCCCCACTGTGCTGCACGGACAGGCAGCACCTCCAAGGAGGGAGCTCCGCCCGTCTGCACACCTTCCCTCCAGACCACGGCTGGGGCCTGGCCACACTCGGAGCAAGCCCCCCGCCCCTGTTCGGTCAGCCCTCTCCCCTGGGTCCCCTCCTTCCTCAGCCCAGCAGTCCACCCTCTCCAATGTACAGGCACGACTCAGGCCTGAGAGGGGAGGGGGGTGCCAACCTGCCTGGGCTTTCCACCCACAACTCCTTACCACTGGCCCTCTGCCCCACACACACCCTGGGCCCTGCCACATCTGTTCTCCCTCCACGGGCCTCCCTCTGCCCCTCCCCAGCGTCCTGGGCACCTTCTCTCCTGAGCAGGACTCTGAGCATAAACTAGGTGTTCCCTGTCCACCGGGCCCACAGACTTGGAGGACCTGGAAGGCCAGGCCACACACGCTCCTCTCTGGGGCCACTGTGCGCACAGGGCTGGGTGGAGAAAACGCTGAGGGCATGTCTGCCAAATGAAGGGATGGACGGACGGATGGACGAATGAATGAATGAATGTAGGTCCAGTGTGGTGGGAACCCACAGTGCTCCTGGATGTTTCTTTCCTGATTCTAAGCATACCATTCAGCAACAAGAACCCTTTCTCATGTTCCTCACTCCTTCTCATGTCTCTCTGTCCCCCAACCCCATCTCTGTCTCTCTGTCCCCCAACCCCATCTCTGTCTCTCTGTCCCTTCTCCTCTCCCCCTCTGCCTCCCTCTCCTCCTGGCTCAACCGCAGAGAAGGGGGAGACAAGGTGTCTGTTTCGGCCTTGGGAGGTAAGGAGGAAGGTGAGGGGCATCTCAGGTGGAAGAACCAGGCCAGGGCTGCACCTAGCTGACGCTGGGACGGAGGACAGTGCTGTGGCTGGAGGGGAAGAGGCTGAAGGACACAGCAGAGCAGGTACACGATACCAGAAAGGGCCCCCGCAGCCTGGGAAGGACCAAGGACTGGCCTTTTATACAGGAGGTAGCATGAGCCGCTGCAAGTATCTGCTGTAGTTGAGAAAGGTCACTCTGGCAGGGTGACCCACACTGGGAGGGGCCGTCTGGAGGCAGGGAGGCCAGGAGGAGGCCCAGCACCAGCAGGCCTCTTCGCCATCATTCCTGCTGAGTCAATTCCACCCCTCAGCCACGCGAGCGGCACGCCTGTTCAGATATGCTGTGTGTTCCCTCTGCCAGGAACTCTCTCGTGACCTACCTGTGCCTGAAGCCCCTGTTCCAACACCCCTCTTCCCCGAAGCCCCAACTCTGGCCAACACTGGCACATTTGCTCCTGAATCTGAAAGCTCAGGCCGTCTGTCCCACCACGTTGGAAAGGGACCACACGCCTTCTTCCTCTGCTCTTCTCGGGCAAGTCTTACCAAGATGCTGCCCTACAGTCTCCCTCGCCACCCCTCTAACATCTGCATTGTGCTGTCACAGGGGGCCTACTTCTGGCATGAGCCCTTGCATGAGCTCCCATGGCAGTGCCGGTCCCCTTGGGTGTCTTCTGGGTCTCACGTCTCACCTACTGCACTGTGCAACCTTTTAGAAGCAGCTGCATTGAGCAAAGAACTTCAAAACAGTGGGTCCCTGGAAAGTATGTGTTCCCTGGGGGCCAGCAAGCCCAGGTGCCTCCCCACAGAACCCTGCTCAGTGCTCAGGCTGTGCTTGGGCCTCCCCCTCCACCCGCCTGCCATCAGAAGGGGTGGGGCATCCAGGCCCCAGCCACAGGCAGCTATTAAAAGCAATAGGCTGCCATGGAAATAGAATAGTGATAATAACGATGATGGTGATGGCAAGGCATTTATAGGGACAAGTACTACTCCATATATGTTTATATGAGTCAACTCATTAAATCTTCACTAGAGCCTGGCCGGTGTGGCTCAGTGGATGGAGCGTCGTCCCATGGACTGAGAGGTCCCTGTTCGATTACCGGTCAGGGCACATGCCTGGGTTTCAGGCTCAATCCCCAGTGCGGGGCATGCAGGAGGCAGCCAATCGATGTTCTCTTCATGGATGTTTCCATTTCTCTCTCTCTCTCTCTAAAAAATCAATAAAAACATATTCTAAAAAATCTTCACTATAGTCCTGAGAGGCCAGGACAGTTATTCCCATTGTACAGATAGGGACACTGAGGCACAGAGAGGTAAATAACTCCATTCAGTGTGTGGTGGAGCCAGGAGCCAACCCACCCTTGACCTGAAGCACCTCACCCTATGGCCTCGAAGGGACAAGCGAAGAGAAAAGGAAGTTGCAGAATCAGAGCCTGAAGTATGTGCTCATTTGGGGTCAAAGAAAACTAGGTGTCTGTGCGTATGACAGATGCTTGCGTGAGCAGCAACGTGTCTGGAAGGATGTGCTCCAACTGTTAACCGGCGTCACCTGTGAGGCGGGGTGTGGCGGGCACTTTCAGTCTATATTCTTCTGCATTTTTTTTTTTTTTTTTTTACATTTTTTACAATGAGAAGAAAAATCCATGTGTTATGTGAGTAATTTAAAAAGCGAGAACTTGGGGGGAGGTGAAGGGCAGTAAAGGGTAAAGGGCGTCAAACAGATGGTGGCAGCAGATCTGACTTTGGGTGGTGGGCACACAATGCAATATACAGATGATACACCATAGAACTGTACACTTGAAACCTACATAATCTTACTAACCAATGTCACCCCAATAAAATTAATAATTTTTTTAAAAGAGAGAACTTGTTAGGGCCTCTTAATGTTTGCTGAATGAACAGAAGCCAGATTCATTTTCTAGCCTGTTTTCCAAACCTCTGGGTAGGACTCATTAGTGGGCTGTAAAATCAATTTAGTGAGTTGCAACCAGCAATTAAAAAAAATTTAAATAGACTAGAATAGAAAGCAGCAGATCAACGGAGGAAGTAAAAGAAAGAGTTATTTCACTAAACCTTCATTTCAGTTGTGTACAGTGAGGGTGAACAAGATTGTGGCTTAAAATGTATTTCTTACCACAGGTCACAAGCAATCATTTGAAAGCCACTGTTGAGAAATGTCCCATTTGCCCACCCCACAGTCAGCTTCTGGGGCCTGGGTCACCCCTGGAATAGCCTCCTTCCCTCCCAGGCTTCTGCTCCTGAGAGCCTTTGCCAGAATTTTGCAGTTCAGCTTCCCCCAGACCAGAATGTCTACGCCACTCCACTGGTCACCCAAAAGGCCACTTCTCTTTGTCCCTAAGGGTTTCCTCCTGGATGCTCCTGGGGCCCATACACCCCTTGCTGTCCAGGGGTGGGAAACTGGAAGATTCCTTTCCACCTTCCAGATGAGGAAGGCCACGTCCCAGGGAAGCCCCTGGGAACACAGCTGTGTGGTCAGTCTGCCGTGAAGGCGGCCCCTACCCAGGGTGGGCCTGCCTTTGGGGGTGGGGGAGAGAAGCTGAGCCCCAGCCTGGGGCTCCCAGAGCACTGGCGCCTCCACCTCAGAGCTCGCCCAGCCCACCTCCCTCCCCTCCCAGGGCAGCAGACAACTAAAAAGATAAAATAAAAAGAAGTAATTCCCCTGCTCTGACGTCAGCGCGAGGTCTTAACAGCCCAGCAGAGGCAGGAGACTGGACTGCAACCAGATGTAACGCCCTTGAATCCCCAGCACACCGCTGCGTTGGAAGAGAAACCAGGCGGGGGTGCACCCTGGGTGGGAGGGGAGCGTGCGGTCCCGCGTGGGTCCTCGAATCAGAGCCCTCTGAACCAAGGGAAAGGAGCTACGGGAGGGAGCGCGGCGAGGGGGAAGCTCAGGGCCCGGGTCCGCCATTCAAGCCGCTGCCTCCCTTCCCCCAAGCCCCCAACTGCGCATTGTTACCCTGGGTCTCTCCATTCCGAGCCGAAACCCGGGGCTCCCCACCACCCGGGGCTCCCGAGAGGAGGGCACGGCCCCGGCCTTGGCTCGGATTTAAGGAGGACCAGGAGCCCCAGGAAGGAAACCGCTCGCTGGGAAAACGGGCGCCCCAGGAAGCTGGGGCCGCACGGCCTGGGGCCTGGTGGATGTTTCGCTTCCCCTCCGCCCCTCCTCGGCGGCCTCCGGCGCGACCAAGGCTCCAAATGTCACCCCCGTGTCCTGCCACTCCCTCGCCCCCGCCTCGCTCCGGGACGCCGCCCGGCCCCCACGTCGGTCTCCCTGATCCCCTGCTCCTCAGGCGCGGGGGCCAGGGACCTGGCCGGCGCGCGGCTGTCTGGGGACACGGGGCTCGCGTGCCCGGCGCCCCGGGCCGTCATGCCACCCTCCGAAGGGCCCGCGCGCCCCGGGCCTGGCCGCGTCGGAGCTCCCGGGCCTCGGGCAGCTTCCTGCCGGGTCGCGCGGCCTGCGCACAGGCCCGCGCCGCTGCCCGGGCTGGGGCACCGCGGTGAGCCCCTCGAGCTCCATCTCGCCACACGGGCCTCCCCGCCCCTCGCGTCCCTGCCTCCCCAGCTGTGGCCCACGCCGGACCCCGAGTCCCACACGGAGACGTCGCCTCCCGCCCCCCACCCACCGGACGCACTCACAAAGGTCCGCTCCCGGCGCCGGGCGACTGCCCCCCACGTCCCCACCCCACGCTCGGCAAACACTTCGCTCCCCCGAGCGCGCAGAGCCTCCGGCCGCGCTCCACCCGCGCTTCTGGCGCCCCCACGACACGAACCGCCCCCAGTCGGCCGCACACATATTCCTCAAGACCCTCGTCCGCGGCGCAGGGCGCCCCCACCCTGCGGCTCCCCAGACGGCCATCCGGTGACCTCGCGCACCCCCCACGCCACACAAAGCAGTGACCCCGCGGACTCCTACGTGCTGGCCCATCGCGCGTCCAGTCTTCACCCGGCCTCGGATCCCACGCCCCGCGCCCCCCGCGCCCGGCGCTCTGCTCACCTCGGCGCCCCGGCTCACTCGGGGGCCCTGGGTCTGGCGCTGCGACTTCGCGGCCCCGAGGCCCGGTCGGCCATTGGGGGTCAGGGAGCGTGGGCCCGGCAGCCCCGGCCAGGCGGGCAGGAGGGTGGGCCGCGGCGCCCCCCCTTGCGCCGGCGCTCGGGCCGCAGGCAGGGCGGCCTGCTCCGTTCGCCGCTCGTCCTCGCCGCCGCCGCGCTCTCCAGGTCGCCTCTCCCAGCCCAGCCGCGGGCGGGGGCGCACCCGGGCCCGGGGTCCGGCGGCGCGGGACCCGGCCTGGCCGCGCACCCGAACTGCCTGCCTGGTGGCCGCGGGGAAATGCTCTCCCCTGTGCACAGCAAGAGCGAGCCGGCGGTCGACGCGTGGGGGAGAAGGAGAGCGAGAGCGGGAGGAAAAAGTTCCCGGGCGGCCTGGCTGCGCTCGCTCGCGGCCCCGGGCGCCAGATGGGCCGTGCGCGCCCCGACAGCACCCCCTGGCGGCGCGCAGGCCCCACTGCGCGCCCGCCCGCCCGCGCGCCTTGGGGGAGGGAGGCTCGGTTGTGGGGTCCCCTTGGAGCCCTCAAGGACGCTTATGCCCCACCTGGGGCTGGGGGGGGGGGGGGGGGACGAGGCTGGGCTGACGACTGGAACCTCGAGCAGAGGATTTGGACCAACATCCTGCTCTCAAGTGCTTCCAATCTCTAGCCTGTTCTCTAGGTCAGGCTCCCATCATCACCCACCATTGGCCCTCACTGTGACCATCTCTTGAAACATTTCTTACTTCCAAACTTAACGGGCTGGACATAAATGTCTTCACTTTCTGGGCGCCTGGCACCTTGCTGGGTGCTGAGGAATCAACCGAGGTAAGTGGTTCCTGCTGTCATGGAGCTGGTGTTCGGTGGCAAGAGACAGACAGAAAACAAATGCTTACCTCTGAAAAGAAGATAATTGCGGGAAGCGGGAAGTGCTAGGAGCAAAATTAGCAGGTGAAGTGACAGGCGCGGAACGCGTAGCCGGCAGTGTGAGGGGAGGCCTCTGGGCAGAGAACTGCCTCGCAGGAAGGCACCTGGCTGGGTAGGGCGGCAGGAAGAGCATCTCTGGCGGAGGGCAGAGCAAGTGCAAAGGCCCCGACGCAGGAAGAGAGCTTGCTGGGTAGCAGCGAGGGGATACATAGTGGGCATGCTGAAGGCAAAGCCACGGAGGGAGGACAGGATCTACAGGGCTACAGAGGGTCTGGGGAGAAACTTAGATGCGATACTAGTGCTATGGGGAAGGAAGCCACTGGCGGGTGATTTTCAGTGGAGGAATGTCGAGGGAATGAGTGAATGGACCTATTAACATAGACTCCTTGATAACTGCCCCTCCAAGGCTTCCACTCACCACAGCTCAGGCTGAAAGCCAGCACCACCTGCTCAGGAAACCCCCCCCCCCCCAGCCTCTGAGGTCTGTTGGGCTTATGGAGGGGGTCAAGGCATCAGAGCTCCCAGGTGACTGGGGGACTGGTGAGTTCCTGTATTGAACCTCAGTTTCCTCATCTGTAAAATAAGGCACTAGGGTTGCGAGGTACAGTGCCCTTTTATCTTGGTAGGTGCCCTGCCCACCAAGCTCAGCCACCTATTTCTCGGGGTGAATGGGAAGAGCAGGACAGATGCTATCAGTTTTAAGCACCGGTTCTGGGAGAGACAGACTTGGTTTCTAAATCTGGCTCCTCTGTGCCCAGCTGGGTGGCTTTGGGCAAACCATATACCTTGCTAAGTCTCAGTTTCCCCATCCGTAAAATGGGAATGATGGTGGTTCCCACCTTCTGGGGTTGTTGAGGGATTAAATGAGGTGGGGTGTGTGAAGCATTTAGCCCAGAGCCAGCCATGCGGTGAATGCTGTTAGCATTTTAATATATATAGGATATCTTTCTATTTATCTTCAGATAGAGTGGGAGGGAGGATGTTTTTCTATTTATCTTCAGATAGAGTGGGAGGGAGGGGGGGGGAACTTCGACCTGAGAGGGACACATCGACTGGTTACCTCCTCCACGACCCCGGCCAGGGTGCAGGATGAACCGCAACCGAGGTACGTTCCCTTGACCGGAATCAAACCTGAGACGCATTGGTCTGTGGGCCAACGCTCTACCACTTAGCCAAACGGGCCAGGACGATGCTGTTAACATTCTAAGTCAAATGCTAGATGGGTGGCGATGGTCCCTTCCATCCATCCAGAGGGTTCCTCGCCCAGCATGTTTCGCTGCCTTAGCCTGCTCCAGGGGAGAGCTAGGAAAGGCCAGGTGCAAGGAACAGCAGTGGACAGCAAGGAGAGGGGGCCCCCTGGGGGAAGGAGAACGTGGGGGTGCACCTACTGTGTGCCAATGCCTTCCATGTGTGTTGGTTTCCTAGGGCTGCTGTAACCATTGACCACGAATCTAGTGGCTTAAAACAAGACAAATTTATTCTTTATAGTCTGAAGGTCAGAAGTCTGAGATCAGTTTCACTGGGCTAAGGTCGAGATGCTGATAAGGCTGGCTCCTTCTGGCTGCTCTAGGGGAGAATCTGTCCTTGACCTCGCTTGCTTTGGAAGCTACCTGCATTGCATGGCTCATGATCACCTGTTGACCTCCAGAAGCTGGGAAAGTGAAGGTAATCCTTGCTTCTGTTGCCCTGTCTCCTACTTCTTTTGACTGTCTTGCCTCCCCTCATAAGGACCCTTGTGATTACGTTAGGCCCACCTGGATGATCCAGGAGAATTTCTCCATCTCAGGACCCTTAATTTAATCACACCTGCAAGGACCCCTCCCTCACCCTCTTGCCATATAAGGAACTATTCCTAGGTTCCAAGGATTGGGACCTGGAGAGCTTTGAAGCCATTTTTTTGTTTTTATTGATTTGAGAAAGGAAGGGAGAGGGAGAGAGAGAAACATTGATGAGAGAGAACATAGACTGGCTGCCTCCTGCATACCCCTCACTGGGGATTTGGTCCCCAACCTGGGCATGTGCCCTGACTGGGAATCGAATTGGCAACCTCTTGGTGCATGAGTGGACACTCAACCACTGAGCCACACCAACCAGGCCGTGAGCATTTTTATTTTATTTTATTTTTGAATCCCCACCTGAGGATATTTTTCTATTTATCTTCAGAGAGGGAGGGAGAGAGAAAAAAACATTGACGTGAGAGGGACACATCGGCTGGTTGCCTCCCACAGGACCCCGACCAGGGCCTGGGACGAACCACAAACAAGGTACGTGCTCTTGACCGGAATCAAACCCGAGACTCACTGGTCTGTGGGGCGATGCTCTACCACTGCGACAAACCAGCCAGGGCCTGTGAGCCATTTTTAAGCCTCACTTTCTATGAATTCTCTGAATGCTTTCTCATCACAACTTATGTTATGGACAAGAGAATTTAGGCTCAGAGAGGTGAAGTCACTCCACCCAGGTCACACAGCCGGTGAGTTTATTCACCTCTTCCATGCATATTATTGAGCGCTCACTGTGGGTCAGACATCAGATTAGGCTCTGGGTTGCTACGTAAAAGGTACCAATGAAAAGCAAGCTGTGAAGCAGAGCATGGAATATAATGACCTGATCCTGTTGAGGAATTCAGGGAAGGCTTCCGGGAGGAAGTGGCCCATGAGCTGCAATCTGAAGATTGATTTTCCCTTAACTAACACAGGCAGACTCGTGGGCAAGAGCCACTTATCTGTGGGGTCAACCATCCTAAGACTGCTCTGAGTGGTGCTTGCTGGGAGGGCAGGGGACTTCTCAGGGCAGAATCAGGACCTGGTCAGGGGTCAGAGCCAGCATCACCAGCATCCAGGAGATCCTGTGAGAACTGTTGGGCATCCTTAGCCGGATGCAGGTACGAGTGGGTTCCCCGTGAGACACAGATGCCCCATGAAGACAGTGTTGGTGCGAAGATCTCAAACTTGCAGCCTGAAGGTGGAGTCCAGGCTGCTGGATTTGGAAGAGCAAACAAAGTGTTTGAAATTTTGGAGTTGAAATACTTTGAGGACTCCGAATACTTGGGGCCCTACCACTGTGACCCATTGTTCCTACTCACTTTGGAATCACTTAACTGACCCTCGAAGGCACTGAGTTGGCGATAGTCTCCCCCTCCCCAGGGTTAGGACCCAGTTCTGCGTCTGAGTGGCCAAGGCCTTGGCCTTGAGCTCCAGCTTTGTGTTCTCTTAGGCCCAAAGGAGACAATGACTCCTGCCTTGGGGGAGAGAGACCCCTGTGGGCTGGAAGACCGGAAAGGGAGGGAGGGACCTATCTCAGGATAGAATCCTGTGCTCTGGAGGAACAGACTTACCATTGGCTCATTCAATACACTGCAAGGGAGCACTGCACCGAGCAGCCCACCTCATTAGGTAGGCACCCCATTTCAGAGTGAGACACCCCTCACTCAACGCCAGGAAGCAGGTGCAGGAGGTGAAGTGGCGAGAGCGGGGAGTGCAGAGCAGGACGCGGTGTGCCCTGGTGTCCAGGTTGCCACCCTGCCTCCTCGAGGCTGGACGATCACGAGGCTCCGGGCGCTCTCGTGCACCCTGTTTTCCAGCCCAGGCAGAGTGGGTGTGCGGCAGGCCTCCCAGTAGGGAGCACCGAGCACTTACTGAACATTTGCTATTGTGCTAGGCCCCATGGCACTGGGGTCTCTTATCTCCATTTTGCAGAAGAGAAAATAGGGGCCTGGAGACAGGAGAACACATTTAGTCGATACCCAAAGGAGCGAGCTGGAAAAGCAGAGGGTGATCTTCCCAGCTCTGCCCTGTGCCAGCGGTGTGACCTCGGGCAGCTTCGTGCCCACTCTGAGCCTCTCGTTTCCACAGGGGTATGGAGGTTGCCCACCTCCCAGGCGTGTTGGGAGGAGTTAGAACCCTTCGGTGCCACAGAGCTCTGTATGGCCACTGCTTTCCCCCTCTGGGCCTCTATGAATTGGGCCCATCCAGCTCCACCCCAAGGAGATGCGAAGGAGCCATTTCTTGTAAAGGTCTTGCCGGTTCTCAGAGCCCTGCTGCAGGAAGGCAGGCCAGGGGAAGGGTGAGGCAGAGCAGGAGGGACCCTGGGCCCTC